AAGACACAGCAAAGACGGATGTGAGGGGGGGCGAGGGAATGCTCCCTCCTTTTAACAGTCCAAAATAAGAGAGGCACGCATGTCCAGAACAAGGATGGAATGCCACAAGGGACGTCTAGGGGAAGAAAAGGAAGCAGCAGCTAAGGAGAGCAATATGCACGGTTATTTTACGGCCCATTTCACAATTGTAACCGTCAACAAGGCATACTGTGGAGGAGCAACATGAAAGAGAGAATCAGTGTGGAACACTGTGGAATGGCCAGGACTTCACAACCTTTGCTGCATTGCTGCTACTATAGCATTTGCACACTCCCTCTCCATGCCCCTCCCTCAAAAAGGGTTTTATTGTGGGGAGCACCACCCTCGCTCTCCACCCTCCAGTGATGCCTAATACTATACAATTGCGCAAGGGTTCCATTCGTTATACAGTGGTACATCTGCCGCTACTTCTGTCTCAAGATTCATTACCATATAATATCACTAATCTTTTCATTCTCCCTGACTCCCTCAGTCCTCTCCTGCAACTGTTACAAATTGCGCCCTCACCCAAGTTATTCCTTCGCATTAGAAAACATTCGCAGACATTCAATAATCTTCATACTTGGTGGTTTTACCTTTTCATCAAAACCTCTTGGCATACATATGTCATCCTGTCAAATTCCATCCGTCTTCTGTTTCATACTCGGTTGCTCTGCATAAACTCATGTGTCTCTTGTCCACTCCTCCTCCAAACAAATGGTTATGCTTTCTCCAGCCCTTTCCCCCCCCCCCCCTTTCCTAATTGTCTTGAGCAGGGCCCATGCTAATCGTCTCTATATTGTTCCAATTTCGACAGATGTTCCAAAGGACTTTTTCTCCCCCTTTCTCCAGCCATTTACATCTGCCCATTCCCCTTTCTTTCAAAAGGGGTTAGTCTCCAGCAGTATTTCATTCATCTTTTTCCGTCAAGATTCGAACTTGCAGTCTGCTTACCAAGAGCCACACGTGTCTACCATCAGTCACACTTCTCGAAGTTTCCTTCCATACGCTTATGCTTTCTGTGGCCATCCATCACGCCCATCCCCACCTTCAAGTTTGCTTTTCAGATACTTATAATAATGTGTTCTTCAGAATCTTCACACATTTTCCAATTGCTCCTCTGACTTGTCCGTGCAGGCTCCCAACCCAGTTCCTTTGCTTCAGCTTCCATCTCTCATGCTCCACGTTTCATTCCAATGGAATCTAACATGATCTTCCTGGATATTTTGTTCCAGATCGCAGATCTTATCGCCCTTCCGATGGACTATAAGCATGCTCACACGAGCAATTTCCAATGCATCTGACTGCGATTATGGCCAGACCTGGATGAACCTAACTGCAACCACGTCCATAGATTCATAGGAAAGGTCTTAGTGCGAGTATGCCCTATGAAAGCCTTTCTGAGTGGTGGTTGGTGATTAGAAATGCCAGTTACATCCCCAACCAACAAGATGTTGAGCAGAGGGTGAACGGGCATCTGGCTGACAGTCAATCTTCCACCAAGTGGAGTAATCAATGCTGATCAGGGATCCTTCGGCCAGGCGGAAGGATGCGTGAGTGGGTACATGATGTAATACTGCTACTATGACTTGCCGGGGGAATAGGAACGGGACTGACGCTCCCCAAAATGGGTATGGAGCCAGGACCATAAGGATCTGTTTTATCTATTAAAAAAAACAAAACGCTCTAAATTTTAACAGATGTCCCGGAGGACGATCAACATCAGTTACTACCCACACTGACCCTTAATAAAACTCCCACAACTGATCAATCAACATCATTTACTACCCACACTGATTCTAAGTAAAACTCCCACAAGTGAACTATGCTTTTTTTTCCAGGGAACTTTTCCAGCTCTCCTCCACAGGATCACAGCCAGCAATCATCCACATGCGCCAAGAAGCAAATAAATATCAAATAGTAAATACCCATCTCACCATCGTGGCCTGACTTCATGGATTACTCCAATCAACGTCAGCTACTACCCACACTATTCTAAGTAAAACTCCCACAAGTGAACTATGCTCTTTTTTTCCCATCTCTCCTCCAAAGGATCACAGTCGGCAACCATCCACAAGCATCATAGTAATACTACCTCGCACAGGTAGCTCTCCTATCAGCAGAGTACAGCGACACGGATACTATTTGTTAGTCAAACCTAAAATTTCTCGATACCGAACAACCTGAACTGGCCGCAGACAGGCTGGTACATCGAAAGTGCAGCCTCCTTGTGCATGGGCATAAGTCGCAGAGTCATCGTCGAGACGCTGGTGGTTCAAGCATCGCCTTAGGTATCCCAAACGGAGCAGTGCATGGGTCAGGACACACCAAGCCGACCATACCATCCGGGTATAAATACAGTAATGCATGGGGTGACTCCCAACCAATCAGCAACCATCAGTACGTTCTAACAAGCTGTGCCACTCTTGACGTTCACGACTCCTCCCAAGGACCACGGAGAGCTACCGACCCCAAGCATCACAGCATTATCTACCCCGAAGCCACAGCGAGCAACCTGATTCAGTCTACTGCCAGTACATTCTCCTCCTGATTGTCACCCCCAACTGCCCCACCCTGTGAACATCTCCAGATTGTCGTCCTCCGCTAACACTATACAGCTACACGTAACAAGTCTGTGTAACGTAAGAACGGGTGGCTGCTGCCATCTCCACCATACCCACATCGAAGTACAGCTCAACAAACAAAGCCTTGGTTTTGCAGCTCAGAAGCCAACAGTACCCACCTTACAGAGACTATCGGCCTTCCTGGCTCGCTCCATAACGGTGGAGTGAGTGGAACACATTCGGATTCGCTGAAGCGCCAGCATGACTGCATTTGATGTAGTTTCAAACTGTTACACTTAGCAAAAAAAACTATTTGATGTAGTTTCAAACTGTTACACTTAGCAAAAAAAACTATGTACTACTCCTATGTTCACCACGTGGCAGGATTTGAACCTGCCACACTGTCCTTTTCACACCGTTACTTTGGACCGAAAATTGTGCAGTCCTGCTGCCTTTGGCACATCCATCATTTTCAGAACATTACACTCTCCAAATGAAACTGTGCAGTCGTGCTATAGCCAGCACAAAGCACGATTCAAACCTGTGACACAGAGCAAAGCTGTGCAGTCCTGCTACCTTCATCCCATAGCAGGATTTGAACCATTTTCCAACCAAGCATGTAGTCCTGCTTCCTCCTGCACATCCACCCTCTTCGCGCCGTTACTTCACAACCAGAACTGTGCAACCTGGTCCTCCTTCAGCACATCCATCCGTTCCAGATCATACTCGCACTACCGTCTTTCCCCAAACACGACGCACCCTCATTTTGACTGCATCTGGACAGACAAATAGGGACTCTCCTGCATGCATCTGACCAAAATTATCCCCGAAAGTCCCAGTGTGAGTATGCCTTTGCACCATTACTTCAGAGCACCAACTCTGCAATCCTCTGCTACCTTCACCACATCTGCTCACCATTTTCCCACTATTACAACTGTTAACTGTACAGTCCTGCTACCTTCAGCACATCCACCCTTATCACACCTAGCGGATCTGAACCTGCAAAAGATTACTTTTCACACCGTTACTTCGGAACGAAAACTGTGCACATCCATCTTTTTCACAATATTTCACTTTCCAAATAACAGTACGCAATCCCGCTATCTTCAGCACAATGAACAAACAGAGAAGAACTGTGTACCTTCAGTACGTAGCAGGATTTCAACCACTTTCCACGGAAAGTCTGTAGTCCTGTCACCGCCAGCGCATGCATCCTCTTGACACCGTTACTTCGCAACCAGAAGCGTGCAGTCCCCACCACCCTTCACCACATCCAGCTTTTTCTTCGAATTCCGACATTTCTCAATTTACGTGTCATTCTTATACAGGGGCCATGCTAATCTTCTCTGTATCGTTCCAAATTTAACGGATGTCGGGAAGGACACATCCATCTTTTTTCTCCTTACCACACATAGAAGAGTTGAACAACCCACAGAATCCTTTTCGCACCATCCATCTTTTTCAAAATATCACACTTTCCGAACAAAACTATGCAGTCCTGCTATCTTCAGCACCAAAGCAGAAATAGACCAAAGCTGAGTACTCCCTACATGGCAGGATTTCAACCACTTTCAGACCAAAAATGTGTAGTGCTGCCACCGCCAGCACATCCATCCTCTTCGCCCCATTACTTCGCAACCAGAACCGCGCAGTCCTGCTCCCCCATCCCCACAACCATCATTTCCAGAGCATACTCACACTACCGTCTTCAACCGAAGACGACTCACCCTCATTTTGACTGTATGGGACCGAAAAAAGTAGCTTATAGACATTCGTAATCAGGGTGCGTTGTGCCTGGAAGGAAGACGTTAGGCCTTTCCTGCATATCTGACCGCCATAACGTCCCTGTCCTGGATGCATGTGACCGCAACTACATCTACTAATAACTAGCCAAAAATAGTCCCAGAGAGAGAGTATGGCCTCGCGCCGTTACTCGAGAACAAAAACGGTGCAATCCTCTGCTCACTGTAGAAA